TCAAGGGCCACGGGTCAATAGCCCATGAGGCTTCGCCTCATGGGCTATTGACCCGTAGCCCTTGCGGGCTACGGGTGTAATTGTTAATTATCCCTTCGTATTCAACTGTCGTTTTCCTTTTGTTACCGCGTTAGTCTTGTAGAGGACTGCAGTTAGTGGAAAAAATATTTGCGGATAATTAATTTTGTCTTTTCTCAGATCTCAGAAATGGAAAAAAAATATTATGGTAGCTTCTTTTGTTTGTGTCGTTCAACATGGCCGCCTCACTTTAAATTTCCCACCTTTTGTTCAATTGACCAATCACAATCGCGAACGACCTCGGTTTGAAGGCTAACTGCCACTCAATGTATGCAAGAAGTACGCGATCGATCGAGTCATTCGATGTGTTCTGTTACTGGTTCTGCGGAGGATTTTAGATTTATGGCGGGAATTTAGTCGACACACCAACTTCAATCTCTGATTCTTCACGACGTTGGAAGCTGTTTTCCGCGATGAGTTGGGCAAAGGAAGAATGGAAGCAGGGATTAACTGCGAACGTTCTTAAAAATGTCTTTGATCTCGAGCAGCGATGTGAAACGTTGCAGAAAGAGAGCAAGCAGCGGCAGTTTCAAATGGAGAGTCTACAGGCTGCTCTCGCAAAGCAGAAAAAGCTGACAGAAGACGAGAAAGCGAATGCTTTGTCTTTCAAGAAGGAAAATCATTCCCTGAGTGAATCTATTCAAGAGTTAGAGCGAAGCCGGGAGAAGAATTTACACGATTTGAACGCCAAGGAAGGACAGATTCGTTGCCTCGATGGAAAGCTTTCTCGCTGTCAGCAGATGCTGGAAGCTGAAACTGCCAGCAATTTGCAGCTAAAGAACGATCTAGATCATCTACAGCACGATCAAAATCAACTTGCGTCAAAATTTGAAAAGCAAGCAGCTGATTTCTCTAAACTGAAAGAAGCTAACAACCTTTTACAGAGACAGGTAGCAGGTAAGCTGAGCTTTTCTTTTCAGATCTATGTTCTCTTTAGCGATTACTGGGGGCTGTTTACAACGATCGTTCTAACCATTTTTTCCCGTCCGTGGTTAACTTGATATTTTATGTAGTAAGCTTAAGATGATCGTTGTTTCATGTATGATGAGATAGCTCGTTTGAAGACAGTTTTTTTACAAGCCCGCCATTAATTGTGATTGCCAATAAGCGTGGCATCAAATTGATTTCCCCTGAACGCTCCACTGTGGTTAAGCTTGGCCCAAGACCAGGGAAAGGTTTTCATTGCCCTCATGATCTGCATAGTGAAAACACAACATGTAACTACAATTATTTCTATATTAGTATAGCTTATGTTACAAAGACAAGGTGAATATGAAAATCAAACAATACTGGAACTTGCCCCATGTAAGCAGCCCTGTATTGCTGCTTCCTTGTCTTCCTGTGATAAGTAACTGTTGTACCCTCGCCTACTGCACATGTATCTCATGGTGCTATGTTATTTCACTGATTATGCTGAAAAGGTTAAGTTGATCGTCGGCTGGATGAGCTGTGGCTACTGGCCATGCGCAGTCGATAAAAATCAATATCAGAAATCAATCGATTCTTCAATAACAAACACAGAAATTTTTTTTTAACCGATTGCTATCGGTGGACAAAAATTGCTAACAATTGCTAATTCCTGTCTTCAGGAATATATATCTCTTATGAGATGTTTTGGTGTGTAGTATTGCTCTATATTTTTACGGGCTGTGCCGTATTTTGACGAGCCCATAAATTTATCAATGAAAGATGGAGAGTGTGACAGTTTTGCATGTGCACGCTGACCTGTATGGCAAACAGGTTTTCTACTGTACAAGTAACTATACAATATCGCTGTATATTTGTACTGTTATTTGGCTGGTATTCGCTGCAGTTGGATAATAAAGATTGTTATTGATTTAAAAAAAATGCAAATAATTGAAACCACTTAAACACTGATTCCATGTATGTTGTTTATTTTGCTTCATCTAAATTCAGATGCTACAAATTATGAGACCGGAAGGTTCTAAAACATACGCAGGCTATGAATATAAAATAACCCAATAGAACCATTACAGACAAATTTTGTCAATCATTTTATCAGGGTAACTTGTAAAAGTACAGAAACCAATATCAATTGATGAATCAACCGTTATCAATCACTATTAGCGATCGATAACAATTGAACTCACAACTTTTTTTCTTCATCGATTTTGGGCTAACTGGGTTGCAATTAAGACCGATTGGAATTCTGTGTAGGCTAAATGAATCTTGATTTACACAAATCAGAACCTACGTGTAATTTAGACTGACCAAAGTGCTTTTCAGGTTAACTGTGACTATTTCGATTATTCTCTGTGCATTATTTGCTAACATTCAGGTCTTCTAGACACCCGTGGCTTTGACTGAACAGTCATTGTATTCACCTTTTTTTCAGCATTAAGGCCTGACTAAACTAAGAAACATTATTGCAAAATCATAATTTCTCATGTTTCTTGGGTGTATTGGCAGTAAGTAAGGAAGAAGGAAATATTATCTCAGAAGCAAAGGGTCATGCGTGCCCATAATGACACTCTATCATGGTTGGTACAGGCCAGGAAATGGTCAGGGGAAAAAATTCTTCAAGGTCAGGGAAAAGTCAGGGAATTGTACTTAGAGTCAAGAAAAATTGTCATTTTGAAGAAAAGTCAGGGAAAATTGAAATAATAATAACACAGGTGATTTAATACCATTGGGAGCTGGATGAAACATTTGGGGTCACTGTGATCTCAATGATATTTTTCCTTAATGAAGAAGGACAATTTGTTGAAAACTTCATGAGTCTTCATGAATGGGCGGAAAGGACAGCTACATTGTATAAGTTGAGACCAGAAGATGCTACTAGATCTGACATTTTATATTTATTTGATCAGGGAAATTTGATTTTTATCCAGGCAAAGTCAGGAAAAAGTGACAGGGAATTTAGAAAAGTGAGGTCTGGCAACCATGCCTATTGCTAGGAAGCATTTATTTTGACCAGTATTGCTCAGAAATGTGACTTTGTAGAGACATTTGTATCTTTTAAAAGGAAAATTTCTATCCAGCATGGTTACATGTAAATGTTTTGTAACTGAAGCAAAAACACTATATTGCAATGATGTTTACAACACAGGTGCATATAAAGTTACCAACATCTTTCAGCTAAAAGACTTGTGCAGCTGGTGGAAAGAAAATATTGCTTGTAAATTGCATGTACTTGGTGTTTAAAGTTGTTCAAAACTTTATCTAAATCCTCTTCATAGACACTTCGAAAACGCCAATAAGAGGCTATCACTTTTCTTATAAGGGCACACTGCTACGCTACTCACATACATGTATCTATCACGGAATAGATAGTGAATGGCGTAGCCAATCATAGAATGGCATTTGTGATAGAACGCTAGTAGATTTATACTAAAACTCAATGGAAACGTGGGGAACATGTTTCCTATTTCTTTTAGAAAACACTGCGATGAAAAAAAGGTTCAAAACAACTTGTTAACTTTGATTATCAAAAGTGTAAGTTCCCTCTGCTCGCGCCATTGTTACGTCAACAGCTTGTGCCAGTTCTGTGTTTTTATTGAGTTATAGAAACACGATTTTTAACTAATTAGCACGCATATTTTCTTAGGACTGTTTTCTAAACAGTGTATAACATGTGTTGTGGACTTACCTGTACATGTACAGTGATGTGGCTCATTATAATCTGTGGATGGTTCGCATTTGTCCTATGTGGGTAAACTAGGATTACCACTTCCCAAGCTGTAAAATGTTCCCTCAAGATTGTTTCTTAGTTTAGTCAGGCCTTTATATCTTTCTGACCCTTTCTCTGCCCTTGATGTAAAATTGATATATTAAAAGATACATTTAAATAACATATTAATTTTCTTGTTATTTTATCATGTTAGGTCATAGAGAGCAAGTGAGGGTATTAGAAAATCAATTGAAAAGCCTTGGAGAGGAGCCAAATTCAAGAGCAAAAACAAGTTCATCTGGGTCAGATTCAGAAGTCGAATGTCAGTCTGGCCAAGAGAGCAAACTCAAGGAACTTCAAACAAACCTTGAGCAAGAGAGAGAACAACGTTGCAAGGTTGAGAATGAACTTTGTCAACTTAAAGCCAATGCTCCTAAAATTAATACTGAGGTATGAACACAGATTTATCATTTCCTTTCACAACGTAACAAAAGCAGCGAACAATAACCAAGCTCATACATATACATGTATACTAATGTGTTCCTTTAATGCACTTTACTGTGAATTTTGGTTCACTTATCTCAAGTGGTCCTGAAGTATTGGCTTTTATACCAAATAGTTTCACGTATATACATGTACAGTGTATAATATGCATTGTGGACTTGCAACTGACTGCCTGTACAGTAATGTGGTTCATTATAATCCGTGGATGGTTCTCAGTTGGTAGGATTTCAACACCTTATGGGATTTGCTAGTGTTACTGGTGTCTAGTCTATACTGCCCTCAACTTGTCTACTTATTTGTACCACTGTAGACCGCACATGTGTACATGAAAGCGATTTTTATTAGAAAAGAGCAAAGAGTGGCAATGTACAGTTGTACTTTTGTGCCGTACCAGAAACCTGCGAGGGGCCAAAATATGTAATGCATGTGCAAATGTACTCCTCTACTGTTCAAATTCCAAATTAATAAATTATTTGGTACTTATAAATTAAATTAATACTAGTTATGAAATGCATTTGAGTGGTATACTACATGTAGTAATATACCATGTCTCACTAAAGGCTTGGGCGTATACCAAGGAAGTACAAGTGACTCATGAGATAATCCATGGTGTACCACAAGAGAGTGTTACATAACTAGTCTTTATATGTACATTGTACGGATTACCTGTTGAATTCTGTCCTTAATGGTGTAAATTTGTTAAAAATGTAATTTAATTAATTCTGTGTTTCCAGGTAAAGTTCCCATAAATACTAAGTGATGAAATTTAAAAGAAGAATTCAACAAATTTAACTTGATTCAACCTGTAACTAAACATCTGTCAACATCTACAGTGGGTGATTCCACATTGTGGACATTACATAACATCGAGAGGCAAAAATTGGAATTATGATATTTTATCAAATCTTCATAAAGCTAACTGAAGTGCTCAAACATTAATTTACTCTAGCAACCCTTAATGTTTGTCCACACATACACAAAAAATATATTTGCTCTCAATATCTTTCAGCAATTAATTTAGGAAGGTGTGTTGCAAGCATTACAACAGAAAACAGCCTCATGTTCAAGTGACTTCTCTAAACTTGAATTTCCTGTGAATCAAGAAAAATTATTCTAGCAATGTAATGTCTGCACTTTTACCCTCTTATTTCCAAGCAGAGAAAACCTATCAGGCCAGAATAATGTTGACATCAAACCAAAAGAGCGGCATAATTCTCACTTAAAAGGGGTGTAAATAATTTTGAAAAAGTAATGAAAAAAGCCTCAAAGTTGTGGACATTACGTAATGTCCGCAACACAAATGAAAAACTATTTTTCTGAGAAAGAAGCAAGTAGATGGGTAATTATTCATAGCCCCATGATTGCTTGACAATAATTCCGTGGTCTCTCAGCAGGTTGGCATGGTCAAGATGCTCAAAAAGTTGGTTATTTCAAACAGTCCAGAGTGTCAGCTATCTGCTGGTATAAGTTTCAATAAGGGAAATTGGAATTTGAAATTTTTGCTTTTTCAATGTCTCATGTCGAATTGCCCAGTACATTCACAGTTTACATGTAGATCAAGTGTGCGCCAGTGTTCACCTCAAAATTATTATCAACTGATGACCAGCCAGTGTGGTGATCATGGAAGTGATAACAATAACTACTAACAATGAACAATAACCTGCCTTTCATCGTTTGTGTCAAGCTCCCTTTTATTGAGGATTCTGCTCCATTCAGTGTTGTTGTTAATTGAACAGTGAATAAAGTGTTTTCCTTTGAGATCACAGGGATCAAGTTTTTAGTAATGTCATCATGGTTGCTTACTTTTTTTTCTTGAATTTTTGTTTTCTAGGAATCTCTTCCTTCCACTTCAGAAATGAAAGACTCAACCTTGGAAGTTCAATTACAATCTAAAATCACAGAACTAGTTACTGCAAATGAAAAAATAGCAGCAAAAGACGTTGAACTTCAAGAAAAGATTACACAATTGAAGGAGATCTCAGAATGCTTCCACAGAAAGGAGAATGAAATTTCAGAGATGACTGCAAGGCTGGCAGAGATCTCCAAGATTAAATCTCAATTAGATGAAGCAAATGCTCATGTAGATGCCTTAGGTAGGAAACGATGCTCCATAGACAGGGTTCCAGATAAGTGTTCAAGACAGGGTGGCAATAAATAATTCCAGCAGGTCAATTTCCACTGCTCCCACCAAATCATGATAAATTTTCTATTAATTTGTCGGGCCATGTAGCTGACCTTGTCGGGTTTTTGACCTGAGACCCCACGCTTTTCTGGAACACTGCATACATGTAGATATACAATAATGGGATCATGTGAACTTAAGGCATCCACAGTCGAGTGTCAATCAACATCTCAATCGATACTCAATCAGCATCCGATTGACACTTGATCAACAGACGCTCAATACTCTACTGACTCATATGCATTGATCGAAAATTAGTCGACTTTCGACCGACTTTCAACTGAGATGTTGATGGAGTGTCAATCAAGTGTCAACCAATGTTGATCGTGGGTTGATTGAGGGATTCCTTTAGTGCATGTGCATGTACAGATGATCTCAATAATGAAGCCTTAGTTAGTAGCCAGGTATCTTTCTTCATGTTCGCTCTTCCTCAAAAATGTCTTAGTTTCAACCAGAAACAGTGAATCTTACTGACTGCAACAATTTCTGTAGAGGTCCATTGTGTTGTAAGGTGTCATTATAGCATTTTTGGGTTCAGTCTCAGATAAATCTTTTAAGCAAAGGGACGATAGAGTGCAAAGTGGACATGACTGTTGGGTGTTGGACAGACCAGGATTTAAATCCAGTCATCCCCTCTATGGACTGGTGCTTGGAAAATTGAACTCTCTGTGGCAAAAATTAGTTGTAAACAATGCTTTCTATCATATTAACAGAAAAAAGAGCCAGACAGAGGGAACTGGATATGGACTGTCAGCGCCATAATTCGGAAGCTGTTATCAAAGGAATGGATGAGAAATTAAAGGAAAAAGATAAAGAACACAGGTTTGGTTTGATTTATAATTTAATTTGCATGTACTACAATACGATTAAAGAGAAGCCCAGCACTTTGTTAAGAGGGATTTTACATGATTGTAGATTCACTGTTACATGTATAGTGCAATAATTTTACTTCAGCTTAGGAGGCGCAGTGGCCTCATGGTTAGTGTGCTCGACCTTGGATTGAGCGGTCTGGGTTTGAGCCCTGGCCAGGGACATCGTGTTGTGTTCCTGTGCAAGACACTTAACTCTCACAGTGCCTCTCTCCACCCAGGTGTGTAAATGGGTACTGGCAAATTTGTTGCTGGAGGGTAACCCCCCTGTGATTGACTAGCATCCCATCCAGGGGGAGTAGAAATACTCTTAGTTGCCTCATGCTACAGAAACTGGAGATAAGCACCAGCCTGATGAGCCACGTGGCTCCCATGCAGACTTTACCTTTAACTCAGCAACTTGGAAGACAATTGACCAGGGGTTTCATTAAGAGCTGGGCACTGGGCATTTTGATCAGCTGTAGGGATGACTTTGCCTGTCTGTTTTGACCATCTAGAAAAAGTTTCTCTTAGAAAGAAATCAAGTTTAGAAGAGCTTTGCGTGCCTGTGAAAACCAGTTGCCTTCCTGCTGAAAACATTCTAGAAACTCCCAATTGACCATTGAGAATATGAATTGAGATACATGTATGGGCTAGCTTAATTGGGCTTTGAACAACCCGGCCCCGGAGCTCCGCTTTTAGACTTGGCTAAATCTATATACATGTATTATGTACTGTATGTTGTGTTTTACAAGTTGGTACAGTGTAGCTTCTGGGACGACCAGGAAGCATCATCTGGAATCTTCTCAGATTTGTACAATGTATAATAGGTGTTGTTGATTTCTCAACAGACAAGAGCTGCTTTCCCAGTCGCAGGCCATTTATGCATTGGAAAAACAGTGTGCCGATCTGGAGAAGGCGTCCAGTACTCTGCAGAATAAGTTTGACAACAGTCAGAAGATGATAGAAGCAAAAGAACACGACATTGTTAGGTTGAAAGCAAGCCTGAGTGAAGCAGAAAACAGAAGTAACCAACAGAGCACTCATCATGATAACAGGTTCATGGAATTACAGCAAAAAGTAAAAGAGCAGCAGGAAGAATATGTCAAGATAAAGCAGGAATTAGATGAAACCAAAGTGATTCTAAGGGAAAAAGAGATGAAAATTACTCATTTAAACAGAAGCATAGAAGAGCTGAATCACACCATTCAAGAAAAGGAGAAAGAACTGAGTTTCAAAGAGAACGAAATTCGGGAGGCTCAGGGTGAAGACAACAAAAAACTAGCATCAGCAATGGATGGGATTTCTCTGTTAAAGAAACAGAAAGCTGACATGGAAGCAGAAAACCAGAAAACACTGCAGAAAATCTCAGATGAAGCTACCACAGCTGTAAAGGAGCTTGAACTTGAACGACAAGAAGTCGTGAAGCTAAAGGAAAGAGTGGTTTACTTGGAGAATGTTGTTGCTGGCAAGGAGAAAGAAAGCCAGTATAGTGAAGACTCCTACAAGATGTTGTGTGGGAAGCTGGAAGCAGCAGAGATAGATTTGGCCAATAGCAAGGTGGAATGGGCCAAGGAGAAGACTGTTTGGGAGGAAAAAGAAAGATCTTTACAGAGCACCCTTGAAGCAATGAAGAATGACTCCAAAGCTATGCAACATGACTACAAGAAAGCTTGTGAGCTAGCTGATATGAAGTCTGCCGAGACCACTGACTTGGTTGATAAGCTAGAATCATCTCAGAAGCACGTGCGTGAGCTTCAACAAAGACTGAGTCGCACTGAGACAGTTCTGAAGGAAAAAGAAAGCTCTGTAAGCTTCATGATGCAAGAAAAAGAGGGATGGTTGAAAGAACAAAAACGTCGAGAAGAAGAAGCAGAAAAGAAGAAGGAAGAGCTAGAACAATTATATGCTGACAGAACAACAGAAACCGAGAGACTGAAAGAAGTATTAGAGTCTGCCAACGTGAAATTGGATGCATCTATGGCTAAATGCACAGAAAAAGAAACTGAGATGCAAAAACTGTCTACAACACTAGGAAATGTCGAATCGCAGTGTCAGGAACTACAAAATTCTCTGCAAACATATGAAGAAAATTTGACAAACAGTAAAGAAATGTTGAAGAGGAAAGAGGTTCATATTCAGGAAATCTCAGTTGAGTTAGAATCAAAGGAGAAAGTTTTATGTGAGTTGAAGCAGCAAAATACAGAGACTCTAGCAAAACTGAATGAATTAGAGAAAGTTCACAGTTTCCTTAAAGTACAAAAAGATGAAGATCTCAAACTTATTACGAGCAAGGATGAAGAAATTGCATCATTAGTGAAAGAGCTTAACGAGATTCAAGGTGTTACTGAGAAGAAACTTGCCGAGATAAATGAACAGTCCATTGCAACCCGGAATGAGATTGTGTTCTTGCAAGAAAACAAAGCAAACTTGGAAACATTACTTCAGAACAGGGAGGTAGAGTTGTCAGCAGTCAAACAAGAATCGAAGAGCTGCAGTGAAGAACTGGCCTTACTTCAGCAGCGTCTTGCATCACAGGAGGAACTGGCTAAGGAAACTGGAAACGAAAATGCAAAGTTGATTATTGATCACAAACAAATGTCTGATGTTCTGACTACCACCAAAGCAGAGTTAGACGAAGTTTCCAAGAATCTTAGACAACTGCAATCTAAACATCAGTCTGTTCTAGAACAGAATAATCTGGAATTAGAGCAACTTAAGAGAGAAGAGGCAAGCTTGAAGGAAAGACTTAAACAAGTAAGTACTGTTGCAGAGAGTAAAACAGAGGAGTTAAAGACCATCACAACTCAGTTCGAAGCTGCAGAAGCAGAGAGAATAGAGTTAAGCTCCATGCTAGATGAACTTTGTAACACTAATTTCAAATTGGAGGATCAAGTTACAGAGAAGACCACTCAACTGGAGAAAGTAACGGAAGTTATTAAAACAAAGGATGAAGAGCTGTTGAACCAATCAAAGATTATAACTACCCTTGAGAAAGCTAAGGCTGAGGGTGAAGGAAGGATTAAGGAACAATGTACTCTACTAGAAGGCCAAGTGTCTTCGTTACAGGAGAAGTGCTCTCAGTTAGAAGTATGTATTGAAAACAAAAATAATGAGGTTAGCAGTGCAGTAGAAAAGACACATCAGCTAACTAGTGAGCTGCTTAATCTCCAAGATGAGCTTGCATCAAAAGGAGAGCTGATTGAAGGAATGGAGAAAGAGAAGGCAGCACTAGCAGAAAATCTCCAGTACAAAACAACAGCCCTTGAAAATAAGGAAAGAGAATTGAAAGACGTTTCTGACAGTCTTCTGGACTTAAAAACAAATGGACAATCAGTTCATGAGACAACACTTACAGAACTAGAAACCATCACGAGAGAAGCTGCTTGTGTAACAGAGAAATTCAAGCAAAGTGCTCTGGCCATCGAGATGAAAGATCAAGAGCTTGAGAACTTAAGAAAGCAGCTTCAAAATGTAGACAAGGAGAAACAAGATTTGAGTGTAGAGTCACAGGCACTCCATGACAAGAATGTACAACTGACACAGAAGATTTCAGACCTTCAGAACAACATGGAGCAAAGTGCTGCAGCTATTGACATGAAAGATCAAGAGGTTCAGAGCATAACAAAGCAACTTCAAATCGCACAGGAGGAAAAAGAAACCCTCGGTTCTGAGACACAACAACTCCATGACAAGAATGCAGTCCTGGCAGAAACGATTGCCAAACTCCAGAACAATGTGGAAAGGATATCAAGTGTGCTGCAAGGCAAGGAGGAAGAATTATTGACGAAGTCCTGTAAGCTGAAGGAAATGGAAACTTCTGGTGACCAACAGATGACAGAGTTGGAAGGCAAGTGTTCAGCTCAAGAAAGTAAGANTGGATGGTTCTCAGTTGGTAGGATTTCAACACCTTATGGGATTTGCTAGTGTTACTGGTGTCTAGTCTATACTGCCCTCAACTTGTCTACTTATTTGTACCACTGTAGACCGCACATGTGTACATGAAAGCGATTTTTATTAGAAAAGAGCAAAGAGTGGCAATGTACAGTTGTACTTTTGTGCCGTACCAGAAACCTGCGAGGGGCCAAAATATGTAATGCATGTGCAAATGTACTCCTCTACTGTTCAAATTCCAAATTAATAAATTATTTGGTACTTATAAATTAAATTAATACTAGTTATGAAATGCATTTGAGTGGTATACTACATGTAGTAATATACCATGTCTCACTAAAGGCTTGGGCGTATACCAAGGAAGTACAAGTGACTCATGAGATAATCCATGGTGTACCACAAGAGAGTGTTACATAACTAGTCTTTATATGTACATTGTACGGATTACCTGTTGAATTCTGTCCTTAATGGTGTAAATTTGTTAAAAATGTAATTTAATTAATTCTGTGTTTCCAGGTAAAGTTCCCATAAATACTAAGTGATGAAATTTAAAAGAAGAATTCAACAAATTTAACTTGATTCAACCTGTAACTAAACATCTGTCAACATCTACAGTGGGTGATTCCACATTGTGGACATTACATAACATCGAGAGGCAAAAATTGGAATTATGATATTTTATCAAATCTTCATAAAGCTAACTGAAGTGCTCAAACATTAATTTACTCTAGCAACCCTTAATGTTTGTCCACACATACACAAAAAATATATTTGCTCTCAATATCTTTCAGCAATTAATTTAGGAAGGTGTGTTGCAAGCATTACAACAGAAAACAGCCTCATGTTCAAGTGACTTCTCTAAACTTGAATTTCCTGTGAATCAAGAAAAATTATTCTAGCAATGTAATGTCTGCACTTTTACCCTCTTATTTCCAAGCAGAGAAAACCTATCAGGCCAGAATAATATTGACATCAAACCAAAAGAGCGGCATAATTCTTGCTTAAAAGTGGTGTAAATAATTTTCAAAAAGTAATGAAAAAAGCTTCAAAGTTGCGGACATTACGTAATGTCCGCAACACAAATTAAAAACTATTTTTCTGAGAAAGAAGCAAGTAGATGGGTAATTATTCATAGCCCCATAATTCCGTGGTCTCTCAGCAGGTTGGCATGGTCAAGATGCTCAAAAAGTTGGTTATTTCAAACAGTCCAGTGTGTCAGCTATCTGCTGGTATAAGTTTCAATAAGGGAAATTGGAATTTGAAATGTTTGATTTTTCAATGTCTCATGTTGAATTGCCCAGTACATTCACAGTTTACATGTAGATGGAGTGTGCGCCAGTGTTCACCTCAAAATTATTATCAACTGATGACCAGCCAGTGTGGTGATCATGGAAGTGATAACAATAACCACTAACAAAGAACAATAACCTGCCTTTCATCGTTTGTGTCAAGCTCCCTTTTATTGAGGATTCTGCTCCATTCAGTGTTGTTGTTAATTGAACAGTGAATAAAGTGTTTTCCTTTGAGATCACAGGGATCAAGTTTTTAGTAATGTCATCATGGTTGCTTACTTTTTTTTCTTGAATTTTTGTTTTCTAGGAATCTCTTCCTTCCACTTCAGAAATGAAAGACTCAACCTTGGAAGTTCAATTACAATCTAAAATCACAGAACTAGTTACTGCAAATGAAAAAATAGCAGCAAAAGACGTTGAACTTCAAGAAAAGATTACACAATTGAAGGAGATCTCAGAATGCTTCCACAGAAAGGAGAATGAAATTTCAGAGATGACTGCAAGGCTGGCAGAGATCTCCAAGATTAAATCTCAATTAGATGAAGCAAATGCTCATGTAGATGCCTTAGGTAGGAAACGATGCTCCATAGACAGGGTTCCAGATAAGTGTTCAAGACAGGGTGGCAATAAATAATTCCAGCAGGTCAATTTCCACTGCTCCCACCAAATCATGATAAATTTTCTATTAATTTGTCGGGCCATGTAGCTGACCTTGTCGGGTTTTTGACCTGAGACCCCACGCTTTTCTGGAACACTGCATACATGTAGATATACAATAATGGGATCATGTGAACTTAAGGCATCCACAGTCGAGTGTCAATCAACATCTCAATCGATACTCAATCAGCATCCGATTGACACTTGATCAACAGACGCTCAATACTCTACTGACTCATATGCATTGATCGAAAATTAGTCGACTTTCGACCGACTTTCAACTGAGATGTTGATGGAGTGTCAATCAAGTGTCAACCAATGTTGATCGTGGGTTGATTGAGGGATTCCTTTAGTGCATGTGCATGTACAGATGATCTCAATAATGAAGCCTTAGTTAGTAGCCAGGTATCTTTCTTCATGTTCGCTCTTCCTCAAAAATGTCTTAGTTTCAACCAGAAACAGTGAATCTTACTGACTGCAACAATTTCTGTAGAGGTCCATTGTGTTGTAAGGTGTCATTATAGCATTTTTGGGTTCAGTCTCAGATAAATCTTTTAAGCAAAGGGACGATAGAGTGCAAAGTGGACATGACTGTTGGGTGTTGGACAGACCAGGATTTAAATCCAGTCATCCCCTCTATGGACTGGTGCTTGGAAAATTGAACTCTCTGTGGCAAAAATTAGTTGTAAACAATGCTTTCTATCATATTAACAGAAAAAAGAGCCAGACAGAGGGAACTGGATATGGACTGTCAGCGCCATAATTCGGAAGCTGTTATCAAAGGAATGGATGAGAAATTAAAGGAAAAAGATAAAGAACACAGGTTTGGTTTGATTTATAATTTAATTTGCATGTACTACAATACGATTAAAGAGAAGCCCAGCACTTTGTTAAGAGGGATTTTACATGATTGTAGATTCACTGTTACATGTATAGTGCAATAATTTTACTTCAGCTTAGGAGGCGCAGTGGCCTCATGGTTAGTGTGCTCGACCTTGGATTGAGCGGTCTGGGTTTGAGCCCTGGCCAGGGACATCGTGTTGTGTTCCTGTGCAAGACACTTAACTCTCACAGTGCCTCTCTCCACCCAGGTGTGTAAATGGGTACTGGCAAATTTGTTGCTGGAGGGTAACCCCCCTGTGATTGACTAGCATCCCATCCAGGGGGAGTAGAAATACTCTTAGTTGCCTCATGCTACAGAAACTGGAGATAAGCACCAGCCTGATGAGCCACGTGGCTCCCATGCAGACTTTACCTTTAACTCAGCAACTTGGAAGACAATTGACCAGGGGTTTCATTAAGAGCTGGGCACTGGGCATTTTGATCAGCTGTAGGGATGACTTTGCCTGTCTGTTTTGACCATCTAGAAAAAGTTTCTCTTAGAAAGAAATCAAGTTTAGAAGAGCTTTGCGTGCCTGTGAAAACCAGTTGCCTTCCTGCTGAAAACATTCTAGAAACTCCCAATTGACCATTGAGAATATGAATTGAGATACATGTATGGGCTAGCTTAATTGGGCTTTGAACAACCCGGCCCCGGAGCTCCGCTTTTAGACTTGGCTAAATCTATATACATGTATTATGTACTGTATGTTGTGTTTTACAAGTTGGTACAGTGTAGCTTCTGGGACGACCAGGAAGCATCATCTGGAATCTTCTCAGATTTGTACAATGTATAATAGGTGTTGTTGATTTCTCAACAGACAAGAGCTGCTTTCCCAGTCGCAGGCCATTTATGCATTGGAAAAACAGTGTGCCGATCTGGAGAAGGCGTCCAGTACTCTGCAGAATAAGTTTGACAACAGTCAGAAGATGATAGAAGCAAAAGAACACGACATTGTTAGGTTGAAAGCAAGCCTGAGTGAAGCAGAAAACAGAAGTAACCAACAGAGCACTCATCATGATAACAGGTTCATGGAATTACAGCAAAAAGTAAAAGAGCAGCAGGAAGAATATGTCAAGATAAAGCAGGAATTAGATGAAACCAAAGTGATTCTAAGGGAAAAAGAGATGAAAATTACTCATTTAAACAGAAGCATAGAAGAGCTGAATCACACCATTCAAGAAAAGGAGAAAGAACTGAGTTTCAAAGAGAACGAAATTCGGGAGGCTCAGGGTGAAGACAACAAAAAACTAGCATCAGCAATGGATGGGATTTCTCTGTTAAAGAAACAGAAAGCTGACATGGAAGCAGAAAACCAGAAAACACTGCAGAAAATCTCAGATGAAGCTACCACAGCTGTAAAGGAGCTTGAACTTGAACGACAAGAAGTCGTGAAGCTAAAGGAAAGAGTGGTTTACTTGGAGAATGTTGTTGCTGGCAAGGAGAAAGAAAGCCAGTATAGTGAAGACTCCTACAAGATGTTGTGTGGGAAGCTGGAAGCAGCAGAGATAGATTTGGCCAATAGCAAGGTGGAATGGGCCAAGGAGAAGACTGTTTGGGAGGAAAAAGAAAGATCTTTACAGAGCACCCTTGAAGCAATGAAGAATGACTCCAAAGCTATGCAACATGACTACAAGAAAGCTTGTGAGCTAGCTGATATGAAGTCTGCCGAGACCACTGACTTGGTTGATAAGCTAGAATCATCTCAGAAGCACGTGCGTGAGCTTCAACAAAGACTGAGTCGCACTGAGACAGTTCTGAAGGAAAAAGAAAGCTCTGTAAGCTTCATGATGCAAGAAAAAGAGGGATGGTTGAAAGAACAAAAACGTCGAGAAGAAGAAGCAGAAAAGAAGAAGGAAGAGCTAGAACAATTATATGCTGACAGAACAACAGAAACCGAGAGACTGAAAGAAGTATTAGAGTCTGCCAACGTGAAATTGGATGCATCTATGGCTAAATGCACAGAAAAAGAAACTGAGATGCAAAAACTGTCTACAACACTAGGAAATGTCGAATCGCAGTGTCAGGAACTACAAAATTCTCTGCAAACATATGAAGAAAATTTGACAAACAGTAAAGAAATGTTGAAGAGGAAAGAGGTTCATATTCAGGAAATCTCAGTTGAGTTAGAATCAAAGGAGAAAGTTTTATGTGAGTTGAAGCAGCAAAATACAGAGACTCTAGCAAAACTGAATGAATTAGAGAAAGTTCACAGTTTCCTTAAAGTACAAAAAGATGAAGATCTCAAACTTATTACGAGCAAGGATGAAGAAATTGCATCATTAGTGAAAGAGCTTAACGAGATTCAAGGTGTTACTGAGAAGAAACTTGCCGAGATAAATGAACAGTCCATTGCAACCCGGAATGAGATTGTGTTCTTGCAAGAAAACAAAGCAAACTTGGAAACATTACTTCAGAACAGGGAGGTAGAGTTGTCAGCAGTCAAACAAGAATCGAAGAGCTGCAGTGAAGAACTGGCCTTACTTCAGCAGCGTCTTGCATCACAGGAGGAACTGGCTAAGGAAACTGGAAACGAAAATGCAAAGTTGATTATTGATCACAAACAAATGTCTGATGTTCTGACTACCACCAAAGCAGAGTTAGACGAAGTTTCCAAGAATCTTAGACAACTGCAATCTAAACATCAGTCTGTTCTAGAACAGAATAATCTGGAATTAGAGCAACTTAAGAGAGAAGAGGCAAGCTTGAAGGAAAGACTTAAACAAGTAAGTACTGTTGCAGAGAGTAAAACAGAGGAGTTAAAGACCATCACAACTCAGTTCGAAGCTGCAGAAGCAGAGAGAATAGAGTTAAGCTCCATGCTAGATGAACTTTGTAACACTAATTTCAAATTGGAGGATCAAGTTACAGAGAAGACCACTCAACTGGAGAAAGTAACGGAAGTTATTAAAACAAAGGATGAAGAGCTGTTGAACCAATCAAAGATTATAACTACCCTTGAGAAAGCTAAGGCTGAGGGTGAAGGAAGGATTAAGGAACAATGTACTCTACTAGAAGGCCAAGTGTCTTCGTTACAGGAGAAGTGCTCTCAGTTAGAAGTATGTATTGAAAACAAAAATAATGAGGTTAGCAGTGCAGTAGAAAAGACACATCAGCTAACTAGTGAGCTGCTTAATCTCCAAGATGAGCTTGCATCAAAAGGAGAGCTGATTGAAGGAATGGAGAAAGAGAAGGCAGCACTAGCAGAAAATCTCCAGTACAAAACAACAGCCCTTGAAAATAAGGAAAGAGAATTGAAAGACGTTTCTGACAGTCTTCTGGACTTAAAAACAAATGGACAATCAGTTCATGAGACAACACTTACAGAACTAGAAACCATCACGAGAGAAGCTGCTTGTGTAACAGAGAAATTCAAGCAAAGTGCTCTGGCCATCGAGATGAAAGATCAAGAGCTTGAGAACTTAAGAAAGCAGCTTCAAAATGTAGACAAGGAGAAACAAGATTTGAGTGTAGAGTCACAGGCACTCCATGACAAGAATGTACAACTGACACAGAAGATTTCAGACCTTCAGAACAACATGGAGCAAAGTGCTGCAGCTATTGACATGAAAGATCAAGAGGTTCAGAGCATAACAAAGCAACTTCAAATCGCACAGGAGGAAAAAGAAACCCTCGGTTCTGAGACACAACAACTCCATGACAAGAATGCAGTCCTGGCAGAAACGATTGCCAAACTCCAGAACAATGTGGAAAGGATATCAAGTGTGCTGCAAGGCAAGGAGGAAGAATTATTGACGAAGTCCTGTAAGCTGAAGGAAATGGAAACTTCTGGTGACCAACAGATGACAGAGTTGGAAGGCAAGTGTTCAGCTCAAGAAAGTAAGATCACATCATTAGAACAAAAGTGTGCTCAGTTAGAGGCTTGCATAGAGAGTAAGAATGAAGAACTTGGCAGAACAATGGCGTTACAATTGGAATTATCTTCCAAAATGTGCACACTACAAGAGGTGGTGGCAGGCAATGAAGAGTCTATGAAGGGTGTGGAGGAAGAACGGAACAGCATGAAACAGAAGTTTGAACAACAACAAGTGGTCATTGAAGATAAGGATGCGAAATTTAGAGAAATACGTGAACGTTTGGAAGAAGAGAAGGATAAAAGTCATCAGGTTGTTGAGTGCTATCAGAAAGAAGTGAGAGATTTGAAGAATGAACTGGCTTTGCTGAGAGAAAAGATTGAAAAATTGAACTTTGTTGTTGAAATGAAAGACCAAGATGTTGAATCAATGTGTGAACAGTTAGAAGTTGCAACAGAAGAAAAGAGAGCTTTGGGCTCAAAACTGGATGAACTTGCTGTGCAATGTAAGCTACTGGAGGAAAAGAATGCTCAAATGGCAAAAAGTAGTGAACATTTGTCAAACATTCTCAAAAGCAAGAACGAAGAACTAGCTGAGAAAAGCCAAGAGATAGAGGAACTTTATAAAAATGAAAGCAGCGAGAAAATATCTGAGTTACAAAGCCAGAACACTTCTCAAGGAGAAACAATTGCCTCGTTACAAGAGAAATGTAGCCAGCAGGAGTCTGTTATTCAAAGCAAACAACTCACAATCATTGCTTTGGAAGCTAATGTACAGGAGCTAACTGAAAAAGTCTGCCAACTTCAAGAGACGCTAGCAGAATCTAGTGATCAGGTGCGCAAAGGGAAAGAAGAAAATGATGCATTGCTGATTAAACTGGATCAGAGTTCAACAGCTCTTGACCACAAAGAAAAGCAAGTGAAAGAAAGTTTGGAGTTGTTAGAAGTCGAGAGAAGCAAGCAGCAGTCAGAATCAGATGCGCATTGCTTGAAAACAGAAACCCTCAAAGAAGAAGTTGTGTCACTGTCAGAAAGACTTGAAAAAGTGAGTGCTGTTGTTGAGGTTAAAGACCAAGAAATAATGGCCATGATTCAAAAGCTGAAAGTAGCAGAAGAGGAAAAGGCAGGACTCGCAAATAAACTAGATGAAGGAAGTTGCTTAAGCTCCACCTTGCAGGAGAAAAATGCGGATTTGGAAAACAAGCTGGAGCAGTTATCTAAAGTACTAAAAACCAATCAGGAAGAACTGACCGGTAAATGCCAGCTGATTGAAGAGTTACAGGCAGGAAGTGGAAAAGAACTAGCTGAATTGAAAGAACAAGATGTAGCACAAAAGAGTCAACTCTCACAGTTACAAGAAAAGTGTAGTCATTTAGAAGCGTGCATCGATAGTAAAGAATCAGAGTTGAATGATCTCCGTTGTAAAATTGAAGCATCTGAGAATCTAGCTGAGGTAGAAGTTTCAAGTTTGACAGAAAAATTGGAAAACACAGAAATGGAGTTGAAAAGAAAAGGGTGTTCAGAAGAAGAACTTATCGGCAAGCTTGCAGACAGAGAAAATCAACTTGAAGAAGCAAACAACATGGTTCGTCAGCAGCGTGAAGACATACGGCAATTAGAAACACAGAAGGAAATGTTACAGATGGATCTAGAGGACAAGGATTCTTTTATTGAGTCACTAAACAAAAAGGTTGAACTCTTGGAAGGAGCAATGTTGGAACTGAAGAAGAAGGTTTCCGAAAAGGAAGAGTTAAATGATTCCCTGAGAAGTGAACTTGCAGCTCTATCCAGTCAACTCACTGCAAGTCTGTCAAATGAGGAACAGAAGGAGACGAATGTGTCACAACTTATGCAAAATATCCAGACTTTGGAAGCTCAGTTGTTGGCCGAAACCAAGAAAAGTGGTACTCTTTCAGAGGAGCTACAGAGTGTGCAGGAAATTCTGGATAACAAACTTGTTACACTTGAAGAACAAGTGGGTGAAATACAAGAACTAAAAGAGAACAAGATTGCAAATGAAGATAAAGTGTCTAAACTCCAAAATCAACTTGATGTACTGGACAAGACTCTCACTAAAGCACAAAGTGACAGACTGGAGCTGGAACAGCTGCTGAGAACTGCTGAATTGAAACATGAAGAAGGTATTAAGCGAATGGAGGAAGATAGGGAATCTAAAGCCCTGGAACAGTGCAAATTCTTGCGACAAAAATCTGAAGAGTGTTCTTCGGCACTTGAGCAGCTTGAGAAAAGTAGGGAGGAGATTGAACGACTAAAAGAGACAGTTGTGCTCCTTGAAAATGTTTCAGCCACCAAAGACCAAGAGAAAACGAAGATGGAAGAGTCTTATGAAGCCTTGAGAGAGCAGATGCAAAAGAGAGAGGAAGAGTTGATAAGAACTTGTAAAGATCTTGAAGAGGAGAAATCGTCACTTCTTGAAAAGTCCAGAGATTACCAAGCAGCAATGGAAGCTTCAAAACAGGAGTGCAAAGTTTACCAGCAAGACTGTAAAAAAGCATGTGAGCTGGCAGACTTAAAAGGCCAGGATTACAGAGATGTGGTTGACAAACTGGATGACTCACAGAAGCATCTACTGGAAACACGTCACCAACTTTCTCGTGCTGAAAAGACATTGAAAGAAGTTGAAGATGGGATGCGAAAAGTGAACGAAGAGAAGGCCGAGCTATCTGAGCAGATGAATCAACAAAAGGAAGAATTTGAAGCTAGGATAGAAGAGTTAAGGCGTGAGATCGGCACCGGTCAAGACAAAATGTCAGAACTCAGAAGACAAGTGGAAAGAAGTGAAGCAATGTATAGAGGTGTGGAAACCGAGAAGCATGAGGTTGAACAAATGTTGAAGCACGCAAAAGAAGAACTCTGTAAAGCTGAGAAAAAGTTACAGTCNTTAGTTGTAAACAATGCTTTCTATCATATTAACAGAAAAAAGAGCCAGACAGAGGGAACTGGATATGGACTGTCAGCGCCATAATTCGGAAGCTGTTATCAAAGGAATGGATGAGAAATTAAAGGAAAAAGATAAAGAACACAGGTTTGGTTTGATTTATAATTTAATTTGCATGTACTACAGTACTATTAAAGAGAAGCCCAGCACTTTGTTAACAGGGATTTTACATGATTGTAGATTCACTGTTACATGTATAGTGCAATAATTTTACTTCAGCTCAGGAGGCGCAGTGGCCTCATGGTTAGTGTGCTCGACCTTGGATCAAGCGGTCTGGGTTTGAGCCCTGGCCAGGGACATTGTGTTGTGTTCCTGGGCAAGACACTTAACTCTCACAGTGCCTCTCTCCACCCAGGTGTGTAAATGGGTACTGGCAAATTTGTTGCCGGAGGGTAACCCCCCTGCGATTGACTAGCATCCAATCGAGGGGGAGTAGAAATACTCCTAGTTGCCTCATGCTACAGAAACTGGAGATAAGCACTGGCCTGATGAGCCACGTGGCTCCCATGCAGACTTTACCTTTACCTCAGCAACTTGGAAGACAATTGACCTGAGGTTTCATTAAGAGCTGGGCACTGGACATTTTGATCAGCTGTAGGGATGACCTTGCCTGTCAGTTTTGATCATCTAGAAAAAGTTTCTCTTATAAAGAAATCAAGTTTAGAAGAGTTTTGCCTGCCTGTGAAAACCAGTTGCCCTCCTGCTGAAAACATTCTAGAAACTCCCAATTGACCATTGAGAATATGAATTGAGATACATGTATGGGCTAGCTTAATTGGGCTTTGAACAACCCGGCCCCGGAGCTCCGCTTTTAGACTTGGCTAAATCTATATACATGTATTATGTACTGTATGTTGTGTTTTACAAGTTGGTACAGTGTAGCTTCTGGGACGACCAGGAAGCATCATCTGGAATCTTCTCAGATTTGTACAATGTATAATAGGTGTTGTTGATTTCTCAACAGACAAGAGCTGCTTTCCCAGTCGCAGGCCATTTATGCATTGGAAAAACAGTGTGCCGATCTGGAGAAGGCGTCCAGTACTCTGCAGAATAAGTTTGACAACAGTCAGAAGATGATAGAAGCAAAAGAACACGACATTGTTAGGTTGAAAGCAAGCCTGAGTGAAGCAGAAAACAGAAGTAACCAACAGAGCACTCATCATGATAACAGGTTCATGGAATTACAGCAAAAAGTAAAAGAGCAGCAGGAAGAATATGTCAAGATAAAGCAGGAATTAGATGAAACCAAAGTGATTCTAAGGGAAAAAGAGATGAAAATTACTCATTTAAACAGAAGCATAGAAGAGCTGAATCACACCATTCAAGAAAAGGAGAAAGAACTGAGTTTCAAAGAGAACGAAATTCGGGAGGCTCAGGGTGAAGACAACAAAAAACTAGCATCAGCAATGGATGGGATTTCTCTGTTAAAGAAACAGAAAGCTGACATGGAAGCAGAAAACCAGAAAACACTGCAGAAAATCTCAGATGAAGCTACCACAGCTGTAAAGGAGCTTGAACTTGAACGACAAGAAGTCGTGAAGCTAAAGGAAAGAGTGGTTTACTTGGAGAATGTTGTTGCTGGCAAGGAGAAAGAAAGCCAGTATAGTGAAGACTCCTACAAGATGTTGTGTGGGAAGCTGGAAGCAGCAGAGATAGATTTGGCCAATAGCAAGGTGGAATGGGCCAAGGAGAAGACTGTTTGGGAGGAAAAAGAAAGATCTTTACAGAGCACCCTTGAAGCAATGAAGAATGACTCCAAAGCTATGCAACATGACTACAAGAAAGCTTGTGAGCTAGCTGATATGAAGTCTGCCGAGACCACTGACTTGGTTGATAAGCTAGAATCATCTCAGAAGCACGTGCGTGAGCTTCAACAAAGACTGAGTCGCACTGAGACAGTTCTGAAGGAAAAAGAAAGCTCTGTAAGCTTCATGATGCAAGAAAAAGAGGGATGGTTGAAAGAACAAAAACGTCGAGAAGAAGAAGCAGAAAAGAAGAAGGAAGAGCTAGAACAATTATATGCTGACAGAACAACAGAAACCGAGAGACTGAAAGAAGTATTAGAGTCTGCCAACGTGAAATTGGATGCATCTATGGCTAAATGCACAGAAAAAGAAACTGAGATGCAAAAACTGTCTACAACACTAGGAAATGTCGAATCGCAGTGTCAGGAACTACAAAATTCTCTGCAAACATATGAAGAAAATTTGACAAACAGTAAAGAAATGTTGAAGAGGAAAGAGGTTCATATTCAGGAAATCTCAGTTGAGTTAGAATCAAAGGAGAAAGTTTTATGTGAGTTGAAGCAGCAAAATACAGAGACTCTAGCAAAACTGAATGAATTAGAGAAAGTTCACAGTTTCCTTAAAGTACAAAAAGATGAAGATCTCAAACTTATTACGAGCAAGGATGAAGAAATTGCATCATTAGTGAAAGAGCTTAACGAGATTCAAGGTGTTACTGAGAAGAAACTTGCCGAGATAAATGAACAGTCCATTGCAACCCGGAATGAGATTGTGTTCTTGCAAGAAAACAAAGCAAACTTGGAAACATTACTTCAGAACAGGGAGGTAGAGTTGTCAGCAGTCAAACAAGAATCGAAGAGCTGCAGTGAAGAACTGGCCTTACTTCAGCAGCGTCTTGCATCACAGGAGGAACTGGCTAAGGAAACTGGAAACGAAAATGCAAAGTTGATTATTGATCACAAACAAATGTCTGATGTTCTGACTACCACCAAAGCAGAGTTAGACGAAGTTTCCAAGAATCTTAGACAACTGCAATCTAAACATCAGTCTGTTCTAGAACAGAATAATCTGGAATTAGAGCAACTTAAGAGAGAAGAGGCAAGCTTGAAGGAAAGACTTAAACAAGTAAGTACTGTTGCAGAGAGTAAAACAGAGGAGTTAAAGACCATCACAACTCAGTTCGAATAGGATTAAGGAACAATGTACTCTACTAGAAGGCCAAGTGTCTTCGTTACAGGAGAAGTGCTCTCAGTTAGAAGTATGTATTGAAAACAAAAATAATGAGGTTAGCAGTGCAGTAGAAAAGACACATCAGCTAACTAGTGAGCTGCTTAATCTCCAAGATGAGCTTGCATCAAAAGGAGAGCTGATTGAAGGAATGGAGAAAGAGAAGGCAGCACTAGCAGAAAATCTCCAGTACAAAACAACAGCCCTTGAAAATAAGGAAAGAGAATTGAAAGACGTTTCTGACAGTCTTCTGGACTTAAAAACAAATGGACAATCAGTTCATGAGACAACACTTACAGAACTAGAAACCATCACGAGAGAAGCTGCTTGTGTAACAGAGAAATTCAAGCAAAGTGCTCTGGCCATCGAGATGAAAGATCAAGAGCTTGAGAACTTAAGAAAGCAGCTTCAAAATGTAGACAAGGAGAAACAAGATTTGAGTGTAGAGTCACAGGCACTCCATGACAAGAATGTACAACTGACACAGAAGATTTCAGACCTTCAGAACAACATGGAGCAAAGTGCTGCAGCTATTGACATGAAAGATCAAGAGGTTCAGAGCATAACAAAGCAACTTCAAATCGCACAGGAGGAAAAAGAAACCCTCGGTTCTGAGACACAACAACTCCATGACAAGAATGCAGTCCTGGCAGAAACGATTGCCAAACTCCAGAACAATGTGGAAAGGATATCAAGTGTGCTGCAAGGCAAGGAGGAAGAATTATTGACGAAGTCCTGTAAGCTGAAGGAAATGGAAACTTCTGGTGACCAACAGATGACAGAGTTGGAAGGCAAGTGTTCAGCTCAAGAAAGTAAGATCACATCATTAGAACAAAAGTGTGCTCAGTTAGAGGCTTGCATAGAGAGTAAGAATGAAGAACTTGGCAGAACAATGGCGTTACAATTGGAATTATCTTCCAAAATGTGCACACTACAAGAGGTGGTGGCAGGCAATGAAGAGTCTATGAAGGGTGTGGAGGAAGAACGGAACAGCATGAAACAGAAGTTTGAACAACAACAAGTGGTCATTGAAGATAAGGATGCGAAATTTAGAGAAATACGTGAACGTTTGGAAGAAGAGAAGGATAAAAGTCATCAGGTTGTTGAGTGCTATCAGAAAGAAGTGAGAGATTTGAAGAATGAACTGGCTTTGCTGAGAGAAAAGATTGAAAAATTGAACTTTGTTGTTGAAATGAAAGACCAAGATGTTGAATCAATGTGTGAACAGTTAGAAGTTGCAACAGAAGAAAAGAGAGCTTTGGGCTCAAAACTGGATGAACTTGCTGTGCAATGTAAGCTACTGGAGGAAAAGAATGCTCAAATGGCAAAAAGTAGTGAACATTTGTCAAACATTCTCAAAAGCAAGAACGAAGAACTAGCTGAGAAAAGCCAAGAGATAGAGGAACTTTATAAAAATGAAAGCAGCGAGAAAATATCTGAGTTACAAAGCCAGAACACTTCTCAAGGAGAAACAATTGCCTCGTTACAAGAGAAATGTAGCCAGCAGGAGTCTGTTATTCAAAGCAAACAACTCACAATCATTGCTTTGGAAGCTAATGTACAGGAGCTAACTGAAAAAGTCTGCCAACTTCAAGAGACGCTAGCAGAATCTAGTGATCAGGTGCGCAAAGGGAAAGAAGAAAATGATGCATTGCTGATTAAACTGGATCAGAGTTCAACAGCTCTTGACCACAAAGAAAAGCAAGTGAAAGAAAGTTTGGAGTTGTTAGAAGTCGAGAGAAGCAAGCAGCAGTCAGAATCAGATGCGCATTGCTTGAAAACAGAAACCCTCAAAGAAGAAGTTGTGTCACTGTCAGAAAGACTTGAAAAAGTGAGTGCTGTTGTTGAGGTTAAAGACCAAGAAATAATGGCCATGATTCAAAAGCTGAAAGTAGCAGAAGAGGAAAAGGCAGGACTCGCAAATAAACTAGATGAAGGAAGTTGCTTAAGCTCCACCTTGCAGGAGAAAAATGCGGATTTGGAAAACAAGCTGGAGCAGTTATCTAAAGTACTAAAAACCAATCAGGAAGAACTGACCGGTAAATGCCAGCTGATTGAAGAGTTACAGGCAGGAAGTGGAAAAGAACTAGCTGAATTGAAAGAACAAGATGTAGCACAAAAGAGTCAACTCTCACAGTTACAAGAAAAGTGTAGTCATTTAGAAGCGTGCATCGATAGTAAAGAATCAGAGTTGAATGATCTCCGTTGTAAAATTGAAGCATCTGAGAATCTAGCTGAGGTAGAAGTTTCAAGTTTGACAGAAAAATTGGAAAACACAGAAATGGAGTTGAAAAGAAAAGGGTGTTCAGAAGAAGAACTTATCGGCAAGCTTGCAGACAGAGAAAATCAACTTGAAGAAGCAAACAACATGGTTCGTCAGCAGCGTGAAGACATACGGCAATTAGAAACACAGAAGGAAATGTTACAGATGGATCTAGAGGACAAGGATTCTTTTATTGAGTCACTAAACAAAAAGGTTGAACTCTTGGAAGGAGCAATGTTGGAACTGAAGAAGAAGGTTTCCGAAAAGGAAGAGTTAAATGATTCCCTGAGAAGTGAACTTGCAGCTCTATCCAGTCAACTCACTGCAAGTCTGTCAAATGAGGAACAGAAGGAGACGAATGTGTCACAACTTATGCAAAATATCCAGACTTTGGAAGCTCAGTTGTTGGCCGAAACCAAGAAAAGTGGTACTCTTTCAGAGGAGCTACAGAGTGTGCAGGAAATTCTGGATAACAAACTTGTTACACTTGAAGAACAAGTGGGTGAAATACAAGAACTAAAAGAGAACAAGATTGCAAATGAAGATAAAGTGTCTAAACTCCAAAATCAACTTGATGTACTGGACAAGACTCTCACTAAAGCACAAAGTGACAGACTGGAGCTGGAACAGCTGCTGAGAACTGCTGAATTGAAACATGAAGAAGGTATTAAGCGAATGGAGGAAGATAGGGAATCTAAAGCCCTGGAACAGTGCAAATTCTTGCGACAAAAATCTGAAGAGTGTTCTTCGGCACTTGAGCAGCTTGAGAAAAGTAGGGAGGAGATTGAACGACTAAAAGAGACAGTTGTGCTCCTTGAAAATGTTTCAGCCACCAAAGACCAAGAGAAAACGAAGATGGAAGAGTCTTATGAAGCCTTGAGAGAGCAGATGCAAAAGAGAGAGGAAGAGTTGATAAGAACTTGTAAAGATCTTGAAGAGGAGAAATCGTCACTTCTTGAAAAGTCCAGAGATTACCAAGCAGCAATGGAAGCTTCAAAACAGGAGTGCAAAGTTTACCAGCAAGACTGTAAAAAAGCATGTGAGCTGGCAGACTTAAAAGGCCAGGATTACAGAGATGTGGTTGACAAACTGGATGACTCACAGAAGCATCTACTGGAAACACGTCACCAACTTTCTCGTGCTGAAAAGACATTGAAAGAAGTTGAAGATGGGATGCGAAAAGTGAACGAAGAGAAGGCCGAGCTATCTGAGCAGATGAATCAACAAAAGGAAGAATTTGAAGCTAGGATAGAAGAGTTAAGGCGTGAGATCGGCACCGGTCAAGACAAAATGTCAGAACTCAGAAGACAAGTGGAAAGAAGTGAAGCAATGTATAGAGGTGTGGAAACCGAGAAGCATGAGGTTGAACAAATGTTGAAGCACGCAAAAGAAGAACTCTGTAAAGCTGAGAAAAAGTTACAGTCCTTTGTTAGTGACAAAGATGAGATAGAAGTAATGGGGAGAATCAAAGAGGAAAGTGAAAAGATGATCAGTATTCTTCAGGATCAGGTGCAGTCTTTGGAGGCCAGCAAAGGCGAACTGAAATCCGATTTAGAAGACACGAAGAAAGAGTTGACCGATCTTCAAGATGATTTACGTCACATGGAAGCTCAGCATACCTCGGCAATGGCCTTAAAAGATTCCGAGCTTGACGAAACGAGAGAAAAAGTGAAAGAAAAAGAGCAGCTTGCCAACAATTTGGTGGAGAAGTTACAGAGAGAGATTGATTGCTGTCAGGGAAAAGTTCAGGAGGCAGAAAGTAAAATTGCAGACCTCTTGTCAGAGAAGCAAGAATGGTGTTCAGTGTTGGACAAGAAAACTGCAGAGGTGGCTCAGTTGTCTACCCAAAACAGTGAACTGGAACATGCTTGTGAAGAGTTAAAACGAGTGAAAGAGAGTTTGAAGGAGAGACTAGCCAGGCAGAACAATGAATTAGCAGAAGTGTCCCTCAAGAAGGGAAGACTTGAGGAAGAGTTGCGTGTTGTTAGAATGGAACTGGAAATGACAAGTAAACAGTCAGTGGATGACATGAGAAAACATGAAGAGGACAAAGGAGAGGTGAGGAAAGTCAATGTGTTCATCACTTATGATTCTGATATGCTGCCCATGTGGTGCGTTTAGCTACAGATTTATTATAAGATGAATTAACAACATTTTGCATTATAAATGAACTTGAACCTCTTCATTTGTAATTTTTTTTTTTTCATTTCATGATCTCAGATCACTTGTATATCTGTACAAGTATATCCTTAGCATTTTCTGTAGTTTGACTTGCCCTCCTGGTTTGACACAATGCAGCACAACTTGTAAACATTTACAGCAATATTTTACACTTAATTTACAGTTATTCATAGAAAATATATAATTTACAAGGTGGCTGAAAAGTGCGGTTCAGTGTTTCTACAATGCTGTGTGTTTGAATTTACGGTTAACCTCACTCAATACTTCATTTGCACTGAACTTGTTGTTGTTGTTGTTGTTGTTGTTTTTAATTTTATTAATGATTTACAATATTACTACATTACATTTACAATACTACAAAAACTACACTACCAGACTACTTACTGTACAACATGCAAGTACATGTAGTATGTTGCAGTAATGCAGTCATATTGCAATATTACAAAACAAAGTAGAAAACAAAGCATAAAAAGACTTACAATCTATTAGCAAAAGAAGTTATCAGCTGCACTAACTATGAAATATAGGAAGTTGATATTAATAATTGTGACAATTGTTGATTTGCAGAAGGACAAAGAGTTAGAGAAGCTACAGAACCTGCTAAAGGCGAGATGTTCTCAGGTGGAAAAACTTCAAAGAAATCTTAGTGAGCAAACTGAAAAGCTCGAGTCTTTCAAGAGCCAAGTCAGTTCACTGACAGATGAACTGGTTACTCTCAAGGCAAAGCATGAACAATGTCAGCAGAAAGAGGATGGATCAAGTGATCTGCAGGAACAAATCGTGCAGTTGAAGCATTCATTGCTCCGAGAACAATCAAACAACGAAGCCGTGATGCGCGCATTTCAAGAACAAGAAAAGCAATGGGAAGAGGAGAAAACAAAGATATTGTCGTCATTGAAGAATAGTTCGGCAAATGCCGAGTCATTGATTGCAGAAGAAAACGTCAGTTTGAAAAGAACACTAGATGAGTTGCAAAGAGACCTCAATACCAGGGAACAAGAACACACAGAGATACTTCAACAGACAGAAAGGCGAGCTTCTTCAGCTGCTAACTTGAAACTGGATCTTCAAACCAAAATAAGAGCACTTGAATCCCAATGTGAAGAACTGAAGTACAAATTGGTACAGAAAGGCGAAGAGATCTTTGAGAAGGATGAGTGTTTAAAGAAGACAAATCTTGAAGTCAGCAGGCTTGAGGCTAAGTATGTTGCAGCAGAAGAGGTTGAGCGTGAGTTGCGGCATCACTTGGGAGAGGTTACCCAGCAGCTGGAGTGGAGCAAAGAAAATAAATCTGAAACAGTTCTAGAAGGATACAGAGATGAGGAAACTGATCAGCAAAACCTAAAGGAGGCTTTGAATGCAGCTAAAAGAGAGGTTAGGAGGTTGCCTTATTCCTTTGTTTCTCATCCCTACAAAAAATGCTCTATATAATGCCTGGTGGGTTTTTTAGTGTTATGGAATTCCATAATTTAAGAGCATTTTCCAATCCTCTGTATGGCCGAATACCAAGGAGAACTGGGCTCAAGGCTGATCAAGTCGCGGATGTGATGCCAAACGATGAAGTGAACAAGATCACAAAATCAGACCAAAGCATACAACGTCTTGATTTAATATTTTCCCGAGAATCAAGAGTCAGAATTTGTGAATTAGGTGAATTACTGGCAAAGATGAATTTACATTAAAATGCAAGGTTCTTATCGAAAACCAAAGACATCCGCAATAAGACTTATCACGCTTACTAAATACAAAATTCTGTGTTTGTTTATATTCACATTCATGTCTTATCTCAGCTTGCAGTTCTGAGAGCAGAAAAGCAAGAGCAAGATCGTGAAAGCCTTGAAGATCAGAGACGAGAAATTGTTGAAGCAGCCAAGCAGTTCGCCTTGCAGCAAGAAGAGAGATTCAGCAAGAAGATTGAGAATCTAGAGCATAAACTGGCAGCAAAAAATGACGAGCTACAAGATATGGAATCGGCTGTGCAACAGCTGCGGCATGATCTCAAAACGGTTCAACATGAAAAGGTGAGTGAAGCCATTCTACCGCTACAGGGCCCAGTTGTTCAAAGTGTGGAGAATGCAATTCGGTGGATAAAATACTATCCGATGACAGTATCCAGTCAATACGTGTTGTCAAAAGAAATTACGCTATCCTCTGGGTATTGATTGATCTAATTGACAGCGTTATTCATCCTTTGAAAAACTGGGGCCGAGTGTATTATCGCAGTTGCAATGGTTTTGTAACTTTTCAAGAGACTCTTCTTCTCATTTCCTTCGTAGTTGGTAGAAATGACTTGTACAACATTGCTCTTCACTCAGCGTTAGTGTAGCTGATTCCCCTAACCAGATGTGAACTGCGTCCAATTCATTTACTAACAACAGATTTACCTATCTAGTCGTTTTGATAGTAAGTTGCTGTAACGTTATTGACAGACAGTTGTATTTGTTTATTTTCTTTTTAGGATGTTCTTATAGAAGCGGCAGATGAGAGGGACAGAGAACATGATGCAGAAAGAAAATTATGGAGTTCAGGAAGTTACAGTTATGAGAAAATTCAACAATTTATCTCCGATTTAGAAGAGGAACGACAAAACGTGACTCAGCTACAGGAAAAATGCAGCAGGCTAGAAGAGAAACTGAAAGAACTGAGAAACGTGAACTCTTCACTACAAAAGAATCTGAGTGAGATTCAAAAGGAGAAAATACTTGACAGTGAGGAAAGGGAGGTTAGGGAAGACGACTTGTACAGCAAAGTTGACTTACTGAAAGCTGAATCAGAAAAACTAAAGGAAGAATTAAAAGCAAAAGGAGTTCTGATTGCTAGCTTGACTGACGAAAAAGCCAAGTTGTTCAAAACGGTCGCAGCCTTAGAGGAGAAGCTGGAAAAATCCGCCCAGGTTGTTGCGGAACTGCAACAGCAATGTGACTTGACAAGGGAACAGTTTGAAACTTTGAGAATCGAGAAAGGTCATCTGCAAGAAGAGAAGGATGCATCCCTGATGCAAAAGAGCCAGGACAAGTTTATTCTGGAGAATTCTGCCAAGAAACAGCGAGAACTTGAAGAGAGGTTACAGGAGGAATTGAAGGATAAGAACAAACTGTCAGATTCGTTGAAAGATATGGAAAGGATGCTTGCAGAAGAGAGGGAATGTCTGAAGATAAAGACAAAGGAGCTTGCTGAAATGAAGACCCTATTGAAGCTTGCTGACAAAGAAAATGAAGAGTCTGTTAAAGAAAAGGAAACAAGAGTAGTCGAACTGACATTTGCGTATGAAGAACTTAGAAACAAACTTATTGAGGAGAGCAGAAAATTAGAAGAAAAATGTAAAGAGCTGGAGCTAGTTAAAAATCAGCTTAAACAAGCACAAGAGAAGAGCGAAGAAATGAAGGAAGACTATGAGAGAGAGTTGGACAGAATCAAGTTTGAATTGAAGGATTCCAACAGTGATTGCAAGTTGTTGCAGGAAGAAAATGAAGGCCTCAAACATAATTCAACTCGAGGCAGAGACCAGGTTGAGTTGGTTCAAGAGAATAAAAAACTTCTTTTCCAGCTCGAGGAGTCTAAACTGAGGTTTAGTCATGCAAAGCGTCGTAAAGAAGAGCTGGAAAGTGAACTAGATCAAGCTAACCTGAAGGTGATTTCTCTTGAAAGTAAAGGAAAGTCGACCGGGACAGAAGAAATAAAACGACTTAAGAACCAAGTTAGCGAACTAAACAACGAAATTCAGAAGTGGAAGGGTAAAGCTAATAAAGAACAAACAGACCGTGAAGATATCACTGGCAAGGACAGGAAGATAAATGACCTCAGACGTGAAGTATGCAAACTGCAGGAAGAAGTTAAAAAATTGAAAGCTCAGGCTAAAGAGAACTCTAAGGCTGTCGAAACAAACCTAGAAAACCTAGAGAAGCGTTATCGGGAGAGAGATAGTGAATCACCAAGCACCGAACTTGGTACTGTTGGAAAGACCTCAAACGAATTAAACAAACCAAATTCCTCCAGAGTGAACGAAGTGAAAACTGTTAGCAACACTGGAGTACTTCTCTCACCACTTGCAAAATCCTTGTCAAACTTGGATATAAAGTCACTGCCTATGTCTTCTTCCGCTAAGGCAACGCAGCCGACTACCACTAAAGAAACATTGTCAAGGACTACAAAGGACTCTCAACCCCTGACTCAGAACGACAAAGATACCGAGGCAAAGGGTTTGGCCGCTGGACGAGTTATCACTAAACCAAGTGGAACTGTTGATTCCAAGAAAAGGGCGGGCGAACAAGGTTTGTTCTTTGTAACTGGTACTTCTTCATTTTCAAGTGATTGGCATTCCAGGGCAAAGTGCTGTACAGGGCAATGTGAGCCAGCTTTTAAATGTAGCTTAAAAATGTGCCGGAGTTCTGTTAATATGTTTTGAAGTGCTAAATCACCTAAATATGTAATTGCGTCACATGATTCATCAGGGGACCAACGAGAGAAACCAAACGTGTTTCGTGTGTCTAGAGAAATTACCAAACAGTAAACACGGCGGTAAAAGGGGTTGAGTCGTTGATTGGTTCAGTTCAGTCTTCACATAACTTCTGTTAGTTGTTAGTTTTTGTTCACGTTAGTTGTCATGGGTCGGGGCCACATACAGGATTGTGCCTAATACAAAAGAGCCCCGCCTGTTTTCACACACATCAATTCATTTAGTCCATGCAATTCAGCCCAATGACCCTTTTAATTTCACGGTTAGCTTTTCTCATTAGCATAACAATACAACGTAGATGCGATGCAATTTCAAACTGAAACTACAGTCGTCCCAAATTTGCCTTACATGTTGGATTATTTTAATTATTAACATCATCTGCATTTATCACTGTCGAGCTGCGCTTTTAGGCTTGGCTAAATCTATATGTTAAACATATACATTTAAGCAGAGGTTATACAGTGGTGGCCTCATTAATCTCAAGGTTATTGTACCTGTTAGCTACTGCTATTGCAGAAACGTTCTGTCATGCGTTTTTTCCTTAGCCACAGAGAACAACCTTGCCAAACGATGCCGGTTGTCCAGTTATAGCCAAGCGGTCGACCAGCTCTCCACGGGGATGCTCAAAGCTGATAGTAAGGGATGTGCCAACAAACCAGGCCCTTCCATCCAATCATCGTCTACTCAACATGGCAGAACCCCAGGAATGAAAACCCGGAGTGCAGCAAAAAGAAATGTACAGGCTGCGAGGGTAAGTTAAATAATCTAGCATTAAAACGTTCAACAGAGTCTTAAAGCGGGATTTCTTATCAAGTCAGGGAATTTTAGTTTTCGTGTGCTGCAAGTTTTTATTTTATTGACAATGAGGGTTGTTCATTATGACTCTTATTCTTGTTATTTCTTGTCCACAGAGAGAAAATCCAGAGTCAACTCGCGCCCAACCACGAGCACAGTTTGCACCTCCAGAGATGGCTCTGTCACCACGAAGGACAAACATTTCAAACATTCCTCAAGGCCCGAGAACGAAGATCCCTAAACCCGGCAGGAGTCAGGTGCCGAGGCCTGCCGAGACACAAATTCCTGGTCAGTCATTTAAATTATCATGATAAATCGAATGAATGCGGGTGCAATTAAGGATTTTTATACCACAAGTGATATTTGAAAAGATGTAGTGTAAATTTCGAGCTTTCGCACGATTCACATTATCCATCCTTTAGACGCCAACTGGCGCATAGGGCATCAACAAGACTCCTCAATCTTTGTCGGTCCTTGACAAGTCGTGCGCCTTGCTCTCAGTTAAGGTTTAGGGCCTGAAGTTCTGCCTCTGCAGTCCTCCTCCAGGTGGATTTAGGACGGCCTCTCTTCCTTTTACCCTCTGGTGTCCATCTGAGAGCAACTTTTGAGATGCTAGTGATTTCTCTACGGAGCACGTGACCGATCCAACGCCATCTTCGTCTTACAAGAACAATTCCCATGTCTTCCTGCTCATGTTTTTTAGAGGGGATTGGTTGTGAAGCCCGGCAAACATCAAAGGAGCAAACAAAGATGCCAAGATTTATGTTGGAAGGTCCACGACCGTGCACAATGTTTTGTTTTGCGCTCATACACTGTGCATGAATTACGTAACCAAAACGTTTCTATTGGTTAGTTCCTCAGTACGGAGTAAACAACTATTGTGTTTTGTGTAAGGTCAAGGCCAAAAAAGAGAACAAAAACCTTTACAACAAAGAAATTTGTCTAGTTTCATAACCATTCCCTCTATTAACTGTGTCCTGCCCTGTCAGCTTGAAGAACTCATCGTTGGAGATCTTTCTTGGCCAAAAGATATGCAACATTTTTTCATACGATTAGTCATCTATTATGACTGAGAAAATTACGAACATTAATTTTACGATTTATACAGCGTGGATGAAACTCTGGGCATCGATGTGGATCTACCCTTTCATTAACCTTGGGAAATCCGCATTATTTGATTAACTCTTTTTAGCATATCTTCCCTGAATTCAGGAAAAAAGATATTAACATGCTTTTCTTCTCCCCCAGCTCCCTCTGCAAGACAGCGTAAACCTCGCGGACCACTGGCGCCTAGAGAGAATGCGTCTAAGCCCGCGGGCGACCAACCAGAGTGCAAGATGCAGTAGCCACATGTGCGAGCAACGGCGAGTCCTTGCCTGTTTGTGGTTGCTTAATTTTTGGTTGTATTTTTTGAGAGTTACATTGTATAAAGCTGTTTATTATAGTTCTTTGTATTATATCTAGACAAGATAGAATCTCATAGTGAGCAAATGCTGTTGATGTTACAATACAGCTTACCTCACGACTTAAACCATAGGTAGTGAACAGTAAGATTGAAAGAATCCGAGATGAAGTAATTTTAAATGCTATTTTATTTAGTGGCCGAGAAAAAAAATACCTGTTAGTTATTAAGCCATATTGTTTGTACCTTTCTTATATTTCCTCTTTATCCCTTTCTTTTTGGTTTTTGTTTATCAAAAAGAAACATTGTAACCGTAGGAAGTTGATTCTTGGTGCGTTTGTATTAATTTGCCATATAATTAGTGTTAGATAATGTTGTTACTGTTGTAAGGAAGCTTTCTTTACGATATTACAAATGTGAACAGCCGTCATCATGTGTATTTTAGTTTACAACTGAAAAAGAAACTTATCACAAAGGTCTGAGGTGCCGAATTTGATTAGAAGATGACATTTTGAAGTAGTTACAAAGTGTTACTTTTGGAGTGAAATATATTCTTCACTCGATTTGTACTTAGTCTATTGACGGCATAACTAAGGCAAAACAACACCCTCCCTTGTTATGTTTCTGGTTCTTTTTTGCTCCAAGTTGAAGAGTCATTTTGGGGAATTTTTTCAATGACACGGTGTTTAGCATCTGGTCAGAGTAGTTATAAATATCTTGTCAAAAATCATGGAGCCTAAAGGATTGCCGCTGTTTTAACAAAATTAAATAAGTGCTGCTGACGTTTGTTTGTTTGTTTGTTTGTTTGTTTGTTAAATCCAGGAAAAGCTATAGCAATAGCCATCTGCCCTATCATTGTTCAGTCTATTACTAAGTGCGTGCGCTCATGCATGAGGTGGCGTGTGAATTGGCGTGCGCAGTAAGGGTGCGCAGAAACAATTAGCGCGAACGTCCTTAAGGTGGTTGGCAGCAATTTCCGACACTTTTCTAACAACTATACTTTGACGGATTAATACAACCACTGTTTATCAAGTGATGCCATAATATTATTATCACATAGCTGCCTAGCTATTGGTGAACCAATGATGGTAATCTTTATGGCAAAATAAGTTATCATAGCCACAATACAAACTGAAAACCACCCTTAATTTCAGCTTTAAAAGTGATTATGACTCAAAAATGAGCTTGGTGATCCCATTTTTTATAACAAATTGCGATAGGCATGATGATTTTGCAAGGTTGAAAGTAATTCTGTTGAGAGGGTCAGAGCCACCTTATGTTTTCGAAACTTGAAGGTTGCTGTAAACACCCTCAATTGTTTATGCGGAGGTGAACACAACCCGAGTGTAAGTTAGAGTAATGAAAGCCGAAAAACGCACCACGCCGAAGCAACAGATCACAACATTCACCTAGACTGCAATGACGTTCTAATGAAAGGAATGTGAACAATAGACAAGAAACCTTTTCCAGGAAGCTTTTCGTTTCATCCAAGACCACAACTCCCTCGAAGAGCACATAAATTTCCAGCAGGTATATTTACCTTAGGGTAAGACAATTAAAATCTAAAAACGTTCTCTGGTTAAAATCGTTTAAAATTACGAGCTTTCGATGGCGAGTCTGTAATCGAGAGCTCGTAATTTTAAACTATGTTTACCAGAGAACGTTTTTAAATTTTAAATACCTGACTGTTTCAAACTCTGACAAAGGCAACAGAAGCTTGGCGAGAATGTAATTTTAAAAAGTTTTTATATGATCAATTTCATAGCTTTAGGTCAGATTCAAAATCTACTTTTTTTTTTTAAATTGAAACAATATATGCAGTTGCGAGGTTACTAGTTTCTAAAGTGACTGTTGAACTGGGTTGCCGGGTTCTGGTGTTAGTTACCAGTAATTGCATTTTAGAAGGTATATTGACCTTCTTTAATTTCCATTTAGAAAATTTTACAAAGTTAAAATTGTACACGTATGTTTCAACTCCACAACAGTTTTGTTCTGGAGATTTAGGGGCCCGAAATAAAATCAGCGGAAGTGGCAAAAATAGGGAAAGAGAATAACATGAAAAACAGAAGAGAATAGAAAGATCAGTAAGAACAACAGTTGAAAAAGTTGACGTTTAGTCTCCAAATCCAATTTTTTTGTAAAAATCCAAGTGTTCGTCTCGAAATAAATTTTAAACATCTCGCAAAAAATCAACTTTTTCAACAATTGAAAAAGTTAATTATTTTATAGTCTCCAAATTTAATTTTCTGTAAAAATGCAAATGCATGTCTTAAAGATTATTTTAAAGTTACCACTCT